AAGTATTCAAATTTTAACTTCTCAAGTGTTCTGCGAATATTCAGTGGAGAAGCGCGTTCCTCACCTAACACACTTTTTATTTCAGGGTCGCGGCGTGGGGGCACGAAGCGCCCCCGAAGAGCCGCGACCCATGTACGTTTTTGTGTACACCATTATTCCTACTCAGTACGACACATTAGTTGAAGCCTCTCACAAACTTCTTGTAGCATCCCAGATAATGTCTGCAGCATCTCAACCCAAAGTTGTAGTATCCTATGAAATGCTTGTAGCATGCTAAGGGATGCTTGTAGCATTCTATGTGATACTTGTAGCATCGTAGGCGATGCTTGTATTATTCTAGGTGTTAATTGTAGCATTCTAGAGAATACTTGTAGCATCATAGGGGATGCTTGTAGTCTCGCAGGCAATACCTGTCGATATTAGATGATTCTAGTGGCATTCCAACCGTTAACTAATTGAGTACTTGAATACTTGAATAGTTGAATAGTTGAACTAATAGTTGAATACTTGTATTCAACTTTCAAGTTTGACACTACCGACAATTTCGTACATGATTAATTAATTTTTGCTTTGTTTCAGTTGTTATATATTTGTTTATATATATAATTTCATAAAGTGATGTTGGTATATCAAATGCTGGATATTGTTGTTGATATTGATGATTTTTCTTCGCCTTTTTCTGCAGCACATATCCAATTCGATTTTCGATTGTCATCAAGATGAGCTAGAGGATTGTTAATGTCACGTAAATGATATGGAACAAATTTATCTGACATTATTATGACTAAAGAAAAGAAGATTAAACAAATTGATATAAAATAAGTGAAGAAAAAAAAAGATTAATATAAATAAGGTAAACAAATAAATCATATAATTTATCATTCGTTCTGAGGAATAAACGTATCGAGATTGCATACATAGATATCGTTAGTATATTAATAAAATATGTAATATGTGTAAAGTTAAAACACAAATAACTTTGTTTGTTGAAAACAGAAACACTTCTGAAAGAGAAGATTTCCTGTGTGTAATTTGTTTGTATTTGTAATAACCAATATTTTTTAATGCTAACCATATGCAAATGATAATTATATTGATAATTATTGCGCGCTAATTAAAATATCAATATGTTCACAAGCATAACGAATCGATGTTAGTTCAACTAAGTCGTTGCGCATACAACAAAGATGATCAAACATCGAATCATCATAAACATAACATAACATTAACATTTAATGATCATATTAGCACATAACTAAACAATAATATATCATGTTGATTTTAAAATAAGAATAGGTCGAATATCATTAACATGTACTCTGGATTCGACCTATGTTTTTTCATGTTTGACCCAATAAATTGGATGTTGTTTCCTAATAATTATTTTTGGTGTAATCGAATATTTTGGTTCTAACTTTTTCTTTATTCCATGAATTTTAATCAGTACTGAATCATTGATTTCATAATGTGGATCTGGACGTTGTTTATCATAATTAATCTTGTATTGTCGTTATCGACGAATAATATTATCACGTGCGTGTTGTTGTATTATCAACAGATTTTTTTTCAATTGTACATAATAATCATTTGGTTTATTGAAAGTAAATTATGATGAAGGTTCATCAGTAGGTAAACGTGGTTCTCGACCAAACTGTAGTTGAAATGGTGAATAATTAGTCGTTGCATGGATGTCGATGTTGTAAGCAAATATCACTGGTGATAAGAATTCATTCCAATTGTTATTTTCTAGATCTTGAAGTTTGGCAATTTGAGGAACGAATGTCGCATTAAAGCGTTCAATCATCTCATTACTTTGTGGGTGATAAACACTTGAGAAAATATGATTGTAGCCAATTAATTTTGCTATGGATTCCATAAGTTGATTTTTAAAATGAGTACCTTGATCAGATAATATAGCTAATGGTACACCATATTGACAAATATAATTATTAAATAATGTTTGAGCCGTGGTTTGGTCTGAACAATCAGGTAAAGCTATTGCAGTCATCCATCTTGTAAAATAATTAGTAATACATAATACATATTGATTACCACGAGGTGTTGGTTGGAACGGACCACAATAAGCAATACCTATTAATTGAAATGGTCCCTCTGGAGTTGGAATTGGATTAAGTTGATCAGGTTTCTTTGTACGACTAATATTATGTTGTTGACAAGGTAAACAAGATTGAATATGTTGAATAATTGATTGTTTCATATTTGGCCACCAGAATTTATTTTTAAATTGTTTAAATATGTTCGTTGAATGCCAAAATGACCACTAAGCGGATCATTATGGTATGAGTGCAGGAGGGAATTGATCATGACTGTAGGTAAATAAATTACTTTCTTCTTATTATTACTAGCAACATTTATTAATATCACTTTATATAATAAACAGTCTGTAACTACATAAGGATGTTTTGTTGGATCTTGCATAACTTCTTTAATCTTCTTCTGAATATTTGAATCTTTTGACTGTTCATATCTAATTTGAATGTTCAATTTTGTCTTTACTTGACGATGATGGTATATCATTTACAGTGGGTGGTGTAATTTTGTCATTTTCATTTTGTTGTTGTTTTATTTGTTTCATTTTTGAACGCGTAACAACAGCACCAATAACTGGAGGATGATTGACAAGAGTATGTACCGTCACCGATGGTTCCCTCTGAAATAACATGCTTATGCCATAATCCTCATCAAATATTTCTTCATCATTTTGTATTGGATGACGAGATAAATAATCAGCTAAACAATTACGTTGACCTTTAATATGAATAATGTTTTCGATATCATATTGTTGCAATAAAATAGAAATTCAATCCACTCATCGAGTTTTCACTGATGAGTTCATCATTTTGCATAAGGAACAATGATCAGTATAAATTATAATAGATCTACCAAGTAGATGAGATCGCACTCGTTGAAAACATAACCATATCGCTAATGCTTCTAATTCAATAGGATCATATCGTCGTTGAGTAGAAGATGTAACTTGAGAATGATAATATAAATTTTTTGTTTCACCATTAATATTTTGTTGTAATGTACCACCAATACCAATTTCTGATGCATCCGTTGTTAATATAATAGGATAATTATCATCTGAAGAATCAAGAAATAATGAAGAAGTAATTAATAATTGTTTCAATTGTAAAATCGCTTGAGATTGAGAAGCACCCCATTCGAATTTGTGTCTATTTGTTTTTGTTAAGTTTGTTATAGCATGAATGGATGCAGCAATTGTTGCAAATTTGGGTATAAATTTACGATACCATGAAAGAGCACCAAGAAATTTATTTGCTTCAGCTAATTTAGTAGGTTGTCGTAATTTTTATAATTGCCTGAATTTTTTCATTGGTTGGCTTAACACCATGTTCAGATATCCTATGAGATAAATAATCGATTTGTTGATAAAAATACTACATTTGACCGGGTTAAGTTGAAAATTATGTTTGGATAAAGCAGATAATACTTGTGTAAGATGATTAAGATGTTCTTCAAATGAACGAGAATACACTACGATATCATTAATATGAATCAACGAGAATTGCCGACGTGTAGACAATATATCAGTCATTACTTGTTGAAAAGATGGTGGACTATTCTTGAGACCTTGAGCCAGCACATTCCATTCGAAAAGACTATCTGGAGTAATAAATGTAGTTTTAAATTTATCTTCTTCTTTAATTGGAATTTGCCAAAATCAACTCTTCATATCAAGTTTGGAAAAAAAATTATAACTACCACCTAATAATTGTATTGCTTGCTCCATATTGGGTAATGGATGATTATCCTTAACAGTAATATTATTTAATTTTTTATAATCTACTGCCATTCTCCATGTACCATCGTGCTTAGCTACTAGTAATGCTGGTGCTGCATATGGAGGATCAGATGGACGAATTAATCCAAAATGCAATAATTCTTGTACTATCTTATACATTTCTTCTTGTTTACTTGGAGTACACTTTAAAAAAAAAGTATCCGGAAAAACCCTTAAAGGGTTTCTGATTTTGATACTATCGGAAATCCTTTAAGGGTTTCTGAGAATAGATTTCCGATGGTTCGGAAGCCTATCATAAGGCTTAGAAACCTACCCGAAACCAACCATAATGAAATACTATGTACTACTTCCGGAAACCTATTAAAGGTTTCCGAGGTTCCTAAAACTAGAGAACGAAAATTCACAGTAAGTTTTCGAGGTTCACAAACTACGGACACAGCTATCTATGCCGAGTGACGCGAGAACAAAAAAATATTCCAACCAACAAAACCATTTCCAGTCTACAAAACGGCCCGAAAAACACTACACCGAAGCGTCATACAATGAGACATTCACCAGCCGATCACTCTCTCCCACTACGTCTAATATCGTTTTCCATCCCAACATTTTTCAATCACAACCTAAAAAAAAATTAAATATACGACTAAAATTGACACTGCTTAAAACAAATTTCACCTTGAGTTAAAACTAAATGTAAAAAAATAAACTCTATAATAACTTCAACAGCATTCGCATATGAGCTTTCCTCTCATTCATCATAAATGCACATATAGCAGTAGGACGTATTTTCCATAGAACTCACCGATCGATTGTCATTTCGTTCAACCAAAATAAAAGTAATTTCATATAATCATTAAAAAAAGACTTACCGATGGATGTTGAATCGGGTGGTTCCCCAAAAAAAAGAAATAGAATATAGAATAATTTAAAATGAACTCACTGATGGATTGTCATCTTGTTCATCCAAACTAAAAAAAGAGAAACAGCAGATACAATCATTTGAAACAAACTTACCGATGAATTGTCATTTGCTTCATTCAAACTAAAAAAATGAGAAACAGCAGATACAATCGTTTGAAACAAACCTACCGATGGGTTGTCATTTGCTTCATCCAAACTAAAAAATAATAATAAATAGAATATAGAATTATATGGAACGAACTTATAGATGTATTGCCATTTCGTTGATCGTAAGTAGAAAAAGAAATGCAAATATACAATAGGCTGAGAAGAATTTACAATGAATTTGCATGTGATGGATTTCAAATGAAAGAACAAATATGTTGTAATACGAATCGCACGCATAAATGATTTTTATTTGATGGATCATAAAGAAAAAAAATAAAAATATATGATAGTCTGAATAGAATGTGCGAATGGA